ATATTCATACCGGATTGAATGCTTTTTTTGGTGTCAAATATCCTTTACTTCTTTGTAAGTAAAAGGTGTAAAATCAATAACCAGGCTAGTAAAACACCTCAAATGAAAATCGATTTACGGGCAATTTAGTCAATTTAGGCAATCCGTGGACAATATCCAATCAGTATAATATCAGGTAGACGGACACGACGATGAGCTACAATAAGTAATAAAATGTAAGCAATATACGCCAACTACGTCCATTAAGAAGAGTTAGATATCACTAATGTAAAAATCTTTATTCTTTACCCAATCTATATAAACCGAGTAAACTACTCTTATTCAAATATCTCAACGATTTTCTTTCGTGCCAAATAAAACGAAATGAAATAAGCAAATTCCAAGCACATCTAGATCATTAGAATTTAGAGAAACCACAATTACAAATTTTAAGTTCATACGTTTTGTCATTTAGTGAAAAATTAAACAAATGTATTAAAACTGTGGAATTTTATATTATTTTACTGAACAGATGGTGCCGCTATTAGGTGCCCCTTTACGGGTCGAATTTCCCAAAAAACCCTTCTTAGGGGACGCATACGTCAATACGTCATAATAGCTATCTGGGAAAAAAACTTCAGACCGATACGTCAAGTGGTTTGGACTGTTCATTGGTAAAGCATTCAGTCAGTCAGTCACCTTATCCTTTTATGTGACGTATACCATTTAAACCACTGTTAAAATGCCATAATGTACTCTATAAAATATAAATAGTAAACATTTAATATTTTATGAATACATTTGTTTGATTAACATTTCTATATTATGCTTTATTTAATTGTTTATATTTGCTCATACCTATAAATATAATTAAAATAATAATGTTGTATGTATTCAGACTATAATAATATAATATGAACCCTAAAGAAATAATATATATACATAATTGTTATTTAGATTCATGCAGAGTTTAGTATGTTGTTCAATAGGTAGTGTTCTTAGACTGTTATAAATATTTAAAGTAAAATTTGATAAATAAATATATATACTCAAAATAATAAAATGCATACATATTTAAAATTCGATTTATTCATGATTTTAATAACTCTTGACTCATTAACTTTAAACTTAAGTGTTTTTTTTTTATTAATAAAATGAAATTACCCTCTGCGACATAGGCCATTGGGATTAAGTGTTTTTAGTTTAAATTAAATATCGTGAGGTTAATAGGTTGTGATTGAAATATTTAATATAATAACTATAAAAGAAATCAGAGATTGTTGTTCTTATCAAAGTATACCTCTTGAAGTAATGTTCAAATAAATAAAAACCATAAATATTAAAACCCATCATATTATTATTCTCAAAAAGAATTGGCTCATTTCTTTCAAAAATATTTTTATTTTCAAAAACACAACTCAAATAACTTAACTGTTGACATATTTTTTATATAAATATTGAAAACTTGATTAGACAATCAAATAATTTGAATTACAAATGGTTATTTGTCTTACAAGACGTTTTTATTCGAACAATATTATGCTACAACACAATACGTCAATTCACTAGAGAAAATATTGTTATTTATATACAGACCCTGTACAAAATTTTATGATTTCTAAATGCTAATAGGTGTATTAAGTCATTAAAACCTCCTGGGGACGATACACAGTCTTAAAGTATTTTTTCACAACACAATTTAAAAACAAAAATAAACTTGTTAACCAACAGACATATCGTTGAATTGTGTTTTATTTATTACGTTTAAGACTAAAAACCACGATTTATTGAATATTTATTTTATTTTATTCTTTAAAAAAAAAAAAAAACCTGAAGAAAATCGATGAAAACGGGAAGTATATTGTACATATTATTACTATCTATCTACATGTTTCCTACAGTTCTACACAATCAATTAAAAGTCTAATAGCATGCGCATTGATCACGCGATGGAATTAATACTTACCAAGTGTGCCAAAAACATGACTAATATATCTTCACCGTACCATATTATGCAATGCGATATATTTAGTTACTCGTGGCAGGCTTAACCATGTTTAACTTTTTTAATTCATTTGTAGATAAGTAAATCACTCCTCGTGCAAATCGTTTTGGCGTTCCCACCGCAAAAACGATGACTATCGAGTGAAAACTGTTACGACGCTGGCAAAACAAAACCTAAACTGTTATAATATATTTAGGCTATAAGGTTATAGACAATTATTCATATATGTTAATATAGAATCGATAAAAAAAAATCCCTCTAATATGTAGGTAGAGTGGATATTTTCATCAAGATATTATATACTATATAGTAGCGGTCAAACAGGACTTTAATATACTAAGCTACAGGCTTGACATACATATTTTGGTTTCAATATTCTCCAACTCTTTGCTATTATTTAGTATAGATTACAAATTATCATTATTAAAATTGAAGTCATACAATTTATCAATGCTTACTTAAAAATAGTTATAGAATAATTTTATGGAGTTGTGTGGATGCGTTTATTTTACACATACCTACACACGTAGTTCTAATTATTGCGAAATGGCAGTCATGATAAACTTGTTTTGTTTTGTTTTTTCATGTTGCTATTAAACCAAAATAACTCCTAAAGTATTACAAATGTAACAAAAACTTTTAAATAACACATAAGCCAACGAACTGCAGAATATTGTGGTGTGCTGTGTACTAACTTGGTATAGCTCGTGTTACTATTTACAGCTAGAAAAACCGTTATAGCCTTCCACGATAAGATAACAGTTCGTGAGCGAATTAAAACTATCTATACCTACTACACGCAGTATACCCTTTTTAATTCCATGATCCCCGGTCTGCCTGTCAAAACAATAAAATAAAATAAAAATAATAATCTACTCTTTCAACTCTTTTAAACACTCGTTAATAAAAATTCACGAATTTTTAAACATTGTATCAAACCAACTCTAACCTAATAGTATACAACGATATCCACTAATAAGTTTATGATAATTATTTTCCTCAATAGCATACGATAAAAGGTAATTAATTGAATAAATGTTCAAATTTAGGTATAATAATTAAACTAGAATAATATAAATTATAAACAATATGTAATTTTTAATAAATCAAAACGTATTATTTTACTAAGTTAATTAGGAAATTATACATTTTAAGAGACTTGATTAATAAATAACAAATATCAGTTTTAACTTTAATACATTAGTTTTAAATTCCCAACGCAGTACACCAATGGAATATTATTACAGAATGTTAGTACCTACATGAATAAATTATTACTTTTCAACCATCTTAAAGAAAATTATGATAATACTTACGTTATTACCGTCATAATGTCTTCTAAAGTAGTTACTATTATAGTATTTAAATTATTATTTATATAGAATTATTATTACAGTTGAATGGTAAATCGTACTTTTAAATTTTTAAAAATAATAAAATTTCAATTTAAAACATTTTCATACCACGATATTCTCTGAGAAAACCGTTCTATGAAATATATCTATTTTAGTTTTATACATTTATCAAAACCCCTGGGATAGACAGTTTTTATGAAACAGAAATTATCATAAACTATTATGAAACTGATTTCTTAGAAAACCATATGTTATTATTGTATTTGAAAACTTCCTGTACATAGTTAAGGAGATTGTAACTCATTGGATACAACTCTTTTTTTAGTCATTAAAATATTATTTAATGGAAAATGTAACTTATAAGAAGTTTTTGAGAAAAAAATGAAGTTGAAAACTGCATGTTTGTGTGTAATAATTATGTAATGGTTGGTTTATGGTTGTTAGGTTTCCAAAAAAAAACATATAAATGGCCACTCTGTATTTTTAATCAGCGACTAAATATCGTTTAGAACAGCATTACTAAACATTGAGACCAATGCATTGTAGTTTTATGGTTTTAAACTATTACATTTTACATTCAAAAACACAGTATTGAGAGTTAGTTTTACTTATAAACTACCTCATAAGTAATTTGATATAGTATTGATGACATGTTGTAATATAAAATATTTTTATTTTTATTTATATTATTTGGTAGGTATATAATGTTCTTAATTAATAAGAGTTGCATTTAATTTAAGATATTTAACACTATTAATATACGAATCGTATTTTCATATTAATTTAAAGATTTATAAATTATTTGAAAGTAATTTATAATCATCAGCCTAGGAGAATTTGTTTTTATGGTATGTAAAAATATTTATTTTTTTGTTCATACCTATTCTTAATATTTTGTTTAGTCACTGAGGTGTATTAAGGGTATAGTATTTAACTTTAACTTTAATTAAATTACTGTCTTTAATAATTATCTATGGATGAGTTATTTATTGCACTGTGAATAAGTCGAGTTAATGAAAACTTTTCTTACATTTAGAATAATTCACATACAATTGAGTTTAAGACGTTCTTCAATTTTATCTATATTTTAAAAATGTAACTGATCTTATCCAATTGAAATTACAATAATTAAACAAAAAAATATTAATATTGATTGATGTAATAAAACAATTTTTTAATTAATTTCGTATTATGTTATCAATTAATAGCTTTGTGTAAATACATATTAAAATATATAACTAAATAATAAACATTTTAAAAACTGTTATAGGACTCGTTTATATTTAATTAGTATGAAACAGAAAATAAGTTTTAACAAAACGTGAAGATTCAGTTTTACAATGGATTTATTTTTCTCAAGACTCTAAAGCATTCAATTGTATTTGGTTCGGCGGCAGTATATAACAACACACTTTTAAAAAGATCACACGAAATAAGTTTACCATCTTTAAATGTAATTTTATACAACAAATACTAATCTTTATTTATTATAAAAATCACTCCACACTCAACACTTTATCCAATATTCACTCCCATTATGTAACGCAGCCAAAGTAAACCAACACACAATCCTAGTAGCGCTTGACTTAACAAAAGCATATGATATGGTTTGGAGACAAAGAGTTATCTTTATCCTACGTGAATGGAACATCTCAGGAAACATGATTACATTCATCACTAACTTCTTACAGGACAGATCATTCCAAACAAAAATTGGTGAAACACTATCAACAACTCATACCACTGAAAATGGAGTCCCCCAGGGCTCAGTCATCAGTGTCACCCTGTTCTTAATCGCAATAAATAATATATTTGACAATATCCTTCCCCCTATAAAGTATACCATCTTTGCGGATGATTGTAACATTTTCTGTAGTGGCGTGAACATAAAAACAACAGTCGAACTCATCCAGCAAGCTCTGGATGAACTCCTCAAGTGGTCAACCACAACAGGCTTCAATTTCCCACCATCTAAAACACAAAGTATCATCTTCCACAAAAAACGTAATGAAAACTTATTCCACATCAATTTAAATAACACCATTATATCATATACAGATAAAATAAAAATACTAGGTATGACTTTCGATCACAAATTAAATTGGAACCCACACCTAAAAAACCTAAAAATAAATGCAAACAACAACATGAAAATTATGAAAACCTTATCTCACTACTCCTGGGGCTCTGAAAAAAATAGCCTCATTACTATATATAAAGCAATTATACTAGCAAAAATGGAATATGGTGCAGTCATTTATAATACGGCCAGAAGCAAAATTCTCAATATACTAAATCCTATACAGAATCAAGGCATTAGACTAGCCACAGGTGCCTTCCGCACAAGCCCAACTGCAAGTATTATGTGCAACGCTGGATAACTCCCACTTGAATTTAGAAGGATTAAAGAAACACTAAAATTTGTAACTAAATTCTCAAATAACAAAACTCAAGTTCCAACCAGAAAACCTCTGAATATACATAACAGTCCAAACATACCTCGCACTATCGATGACACGTATAAAAACATAGCAGATATAATGAAGTTCAAACCAATTATGTTTTACAAAATTATCTTCCCGTCTTCCCCTCCGTGGATGTGGAATATTAAGCTCAATACCCAACTACTCGAATTCGACAAAAAAATCTCCTCAACCTCAACTATAATAAATAACTTTTTAGAAATAATAGAAGGAAAATACCCTCACCACATAAAAATCTTTACGGACGCCTCAAAATCCCCAAATGGAACCGGTTTCGCAGTCATAGAAAATAACAAAACTTCAATGTTCAAATCTCCTCACGAAACCAGCATTTTTTCCGCTGAAAGTCAAGCTATCCAAAATGCAATCTCACACGCGACGACCTTAGTGTCTGAAGAAATACTTATAATTAGTGACTCCCTTAGTGCACTCCTAGCCCTCGAAAATCCTTACCCCAAAAATGAAATAATTCAATCCATCCAAGAAAAGTTATCAAACACAACAAAAAAAATCGAATTTCTATGGGTCCCCTCCCACACTGGCATAAGTGGCAACAAACTAGCTGATAAAGCAGTCAACGAAGCAATAGCATCACCCAGCTCGGTACTAATAAATAAAATAACATTTCAAGACGCACTCTCAAAAATAAATAATCTAACTAAAAGTCACTGGCAAGACTGGTGGGAGAAAACTCCAAACACAAATAAACTAAAAGAAATTAAACCATCAATCGACCCATGGAAAACTCCCCCATCCTCATCCAGGCACGAAGAAGTAGTTACCACAAGAACCCGGATTGGACACTCCCGCCTAACACACCTGCACCTCATAACAAAAGAAGACAGCCCGACCTGCGAACTCTGTGACAAAGCGCTGACAATCAAACACATCACACTAGAATGCCCCAAGTTCACCAACTCCAGACAAATCCTCGGGAACCCATTAACAATGCAACAAGCACTTGGCGAAGATAACTCCAAAAACATACACAATTTTTTCAAAAACATAGGCTTAGCAAAATTAATTTAGAAAAATAATTGAATGTACATAATATATTCTACAAATTCCCACTATTGTTAAACATAATGTGTCCCCATAGCTTTACGTTCAATACTCTATGACTACTATTTTGTATTTTGTATTTACTACAGGCTAATAACCTCAGGAGTTGAAGCCTTATTTAAATAAAAAAAAAAAAAAAAAAAATACTTATAATTATTATAAAGTGTTAAACAATTGATGAAATAATAGTTTCTTTGACCTTAGTTACATATTTTTTGAACCAATGATGAACCTATTTTAAAATAATATTAACCCTGCCATACCATAATCTACCAAGACCTCGTGATCCATATAATATAAGTGTCTATACTCATTATTTCGAAAAGTTTTACATTATTTTAAATCATTGTTTTTCTATAATTTTTTGATGTTATTTAAAAAAGAAAATTCTGAAAAAAAAGAATTAATTTTAGTACCATTCAATGGCCCAGCTGCCGAGGCCTATTCTCAATAGAAATAAAAAGTAAATTATTATTATCTGTTAATAGTGCCTACGAAATACATTTTACGTTTAAATTTGGTTTACCGCATACCCACAATAAAAATAATTAAATATAAAGACCGATTTTCAAATGTATTTATCACACTTAATTGCATATAAAATGTATTGCCAATTGCCATACAGTGGACTAAATTTGTATAGCTATATTACAATATTGTCTAACCAACGGATATGGGCGACGGTTCATAATATTATAATGTTGTATAGAAATTTTTTCTGAGACTGATTTCTTTGGTCAGACTCTCAGACTAATAGTATATTTTAACAATTATAATATAACCATCAATAGTTATGGTCATCGCTAATTATATTATTATTATTACAGTTATTACACATTACAATGCTAAGAGTTAAAATATTGTACACGATGTAATTCGTTGACAATAACAAGGTGCAGGTTGTTGTTTATTTTGTACCGGACTTTTTTCGTGAATTTTGGTACTACGATGAAAGTTTGGGTTGATCATCCATCAATTGGAATGTTGACCACCGGAAATTTCAACGTTTATAATCTAATTTTACCGTTACATTTTGATTTTATCAGTATTTAGTAAAATTAGATAAATACCTAATAATTGAAATTGTTCAGTTAGAATGGACTGGTATAATAATATATATATATATACATATGTATGTGTATATGGATGATATAAGCCAAAAATGTTTATCTGGCGTTTAAAAACAATGACAGGTGATGGACATTAATTATTTAGGTCACTTAATTTTTTACGGGGCATCTGCTGTCTGCAGTTATTGAGTCAGCTCGTGTTTATTACGGTTTACAATGTTTTAGCTCAATACCTACGATATCGTTTGGTTCACAATAAATAAGACTTACTCCGTACATCAAACATACAGTGTCTATATATACTCGTATATAATTATGTGAAGTGTATATAGGTACCTACTGCAGGTGTAAAATATAATATAATACTACATTTTTATCGGACGTGAAAATATCGCACAACCCTCTCCAGTCCGTACGTGAAACGCGTTGGTCAAAGTCTATGGTCCGGTCTACATAACATTATAATAATTCGTAAATGTATATTATATAATATGTACGCACACATGATACAGCTTACACGGTACACGGTATAATGATGTGTGTACGGTCACCGAACACGCGTTTTAGGTCCTATCGCACCACGCGCTCTACACGTACACAGTATCATAGGCGTGCGCACGGGGCGAGCCGGTCAAGCCCAGGCTCGACCTGAAACTTTTTAGGGGCATAGTAAAATGTGCGTATATATTTAAATATTTTATTATAATGCTTATATTATAATAATATGTTCGTGGAGATCATGAAAATTTTGTTTGCCGTGAAAGTATAAAAAAAAGAGAAAAACAACAAAACGGCGCACTGGTGTGACTTTTGACTTTATTGTAAACGAAATAAACGAACATTCAATATGGTATTGAGAATACAACGGGGTTCCGATTACACGGGACGTGTGTGGATTCCTGAAGTGTGTCCAGGTCGATGTCAGGAGAACGAGAGCGAGCGTCTTGACAGACCGGTTCACCGGACGGCCGGCCGACGGTTCCTGGCGCGCGTGTCGCGCGCCGGCGTCGTCCGTCGTCGATTGGCGGTTTGATTGAGAAGCCACGGCGCGGCTTCCGCGCAAAGGCTGTTTGAATTCAAACAGCTTTTACGCGGGGCCGCGTCATACTCCCCCCCCCAAACCGCCAACGTCGTTGGTGTTCCGGCCGTTGCCGGTGTTGTGGTTTGTGAAGGGTGGAGGGTGGTTGTGGAGGGTCATGAGTGGAGGGTGGTTGGAGTAGACACCTGTCCGCGGGCACGTTTTCCGGCTGTGTTCAGCGGACGTGGCCCTGGCAGTGTCTAGTCGTGTTTGGGCGATGTGGGGGGGCTAAAGTACAGAAGGCTGACGTCCATGTCTTCACCATCAGCCAGGTGTGCGTCCGTACCTCCTAACAGTTGCGCCTCCTCCTCCGGGGATATATCCATATCCTCGGTTTGAGGGGTGGCGGCCACTAGGTGTTCCGTGGTTCCGGTCACTCCGGAACTGTGTGTCACTTCCGGCACCGTGACCACGGTGAGGTGCGGGGTCGCAGGCCCTGGCTGTGATAGCACCGTCTCTGGGGCTGGGGTTACGGGTGGTGCCGGTTTTTCTAGGTGGTGTTGCTGGGACGCCTGTTGTATTTTGGCCTTGAAGTCCCGCATCCGCTTCAGGTTCCGGCGTTGGCGGGAGTTCAGCGTGGCTGCAGGTGGTGTTGATGCAGTAGCCCTTGGTGTCGGCGGTGGCGGCGGGTTGAAGGTGGTTGGTGGTGGTGGCCTGGTCGCTGTCCTTGGCGCTGGTACAGGCCTCTCCATCAGCGGTCGTGGTGGCGGTCGCTCTGGTGCCCTTGTTATCGGCAGTGGTGGTGCCGGTCGTGGGTTGGAAGATGGTCGGGTCACCCGTCTGGGGCTGCGTGACCTATTGTGCCTCACTGCGGTTGTGGGTTCGCCGCTCGTTGCCCTTACGAATACGGCCGTGCAGTCCTCCCATCCACGCGTGTAGGCGGCCCACAGTACCGGGTCTCGCTGTAGTTGCGCCGTTGTCATCCGTCGAACTCTGGCCGCCGTGGTGACGGTTGTGCCCTCCTCGAGGGTGACCGCCCTCAGCAGCTGTTGGCTGCGCTCCAGCAGTTCAGCCGCTTGTTGGAGTGAAGTGGCTGTTGGCTGTTTAATTAATATGGGTTGCAATTTACCAACATAATATACTATGTGACTTGTAATTATTTCATATTACTTATTATAGTTACAGATTAATAATAAAATGTGCAAGTTAAAATTAGTGAATTTCAACTGTTACTAATACTTAAATTTACAAACTCATAAGTGTAAATTGGTACTTATGGTAAATATTTGTACCTGGCTATACCTATCTAAGCTAAAAAGTATGGAATCCTTCTGTGAAAAACCTGATATGTCCCTTTTTCAAAAAAGTATTTTTACTGTGGTTTCCTGATCAGGAAATAAACTACACATTTCGGTGCAACAAACCGTTATGTCCGATTATTAGTTACGGAGATAATATAAGCAAAATGGACTTATCAGGTTATTACATTTCAGAGCAAGAACCTGCAGGTATGCACTCTAGTCACACAAGTTTTTTGCTCCGAAACTAATTAATATGTTGGTTATACTAAAATTGACAAATATTATAGAATTTAAACTTTTATTGTTATAATATAAACCTGCATGATATTATGTATTATATTTTGTTTACCTCCAAGAAGTCTTCCATATTTTTCATTCCATATCCATGGGTAGTTGGTTTTTTTCTCCTCGACAATAGGAAAGACACTCCTGCTATACTGATGGAAGCGAAGGAAATTCCTATCAAAAATTCTTTCGAAAAAAACATATTTTTACAGCAAATAGAGTTCAACAAAAACGCGTGCAACAAAATAATATTTTATTGTGAGTACTCTATTTATTAGTAAACCGTAGTGATGTAAATAAATAACATTATAATATCGTGTTATATTTTGATATTTAAACAATTCAACCAGATAATAAATTATTATACAATATTATAGTTTAATTTATAAAGTCTTAGATTTTTATCGAACTGCGTTCACAAATTATCGTTATGAAAATCTGAGTATGCATAAATTACGTCCATGCAGTGGCGGGCTGGCAATGGATGCAATCGCATCCCGGGCCCCAACTGAGTAGGGCCTCATGCCCCATATACATTTGGAAAAATAATTTAAATAAACTGCTTAAGACTTTCTAAGCTTTCTAACCGTCGTACTTATATAATAATATACTACTGAGGTATTATATAAATGTTTTTGAATCTCACCCCCCCCCCCCCTCCCATAATCATACGAGAAACCACCACTGTATCCGATATACTCTATCGTAGCGTCTGATTAGTGATTTGCGATGCTCGAACAACAGGGAGGAGCGGATTAGGCACCTATAAACTAGGTATGCATATAGGTAGGAACTGCATTGTACAAGACGATTAGATGAAATACAGCATAGGTACATGATGCGACGTCAGCTTGAGTTTATACTTTATTGTTGGTTGCATAATATATTCTAATATCTAGGTACCTCTTAAGAAATATATATTAGAGTATATTATATATTGGAATAGCATACTTTTGATTACTATTTAATTTAATTTTAATATTAGCATCTATACTCCGTCCCCCACAAGACAAATTAGTTAGGTAAGTTAGAAGTTACTTCTAAAAAAAAAAAAAAAAACGCGTGTGTCTCAAGCGACCCTCATAAGATGTGAAAACATATATTATATGAGCTTAGAATTTTAAGGAAAAATTTGGAAATAAATCACAAGTCTGAAAATATTACCTCCATAGTTAATTCCGATCTTGACCTACCCCCAAGGTTGACGCCCAGTCTGACGTCATAATTAGTCTGTTAGTGGCAAAAAAATTTTCGGTGTTTTTCGAAAAATTTTGAAAAAAAAATTACAAGTCC